TCACCAGCCGGTCAGGCCAAACACCGCCAGCGGGGCCGGCTCAGATTGAAGCATGCCATGGCTGTGGACCAGCCAGAAACGGGATGAATGGCAAGGCCAGATGGGGTGGCGGCCCCGCCAGGAGCGGGCACTGCCGCTATGCAGCTGTTCGGCTTGTGTGCCGGATTGAATTGTGCTGTGTGGGGGGTGCGGAGGTGGCCTAAGGAGCAGAAAATATACCGGGGCCGTCAAAAGCACGCTGCCTAGCCAGGGGGCATGCGCGGAGGCTGCTTGCTGCAGCGGGGGTCGCAGCGCTGACACGACGGATAGCAGAATAGCTTAGCCTAGTCACACACCACAAGCCCCAGCTGCGTCGATGACCACGGGGGGCCTGAGCAGAAGACGGGCGGGCGCGGAGTCCCGATGAGGGGTCCTGAGAGGGGGTCGGCACATGGGTGCACGGCAAGGATTCAGTGCAGCTCGTGCGGGCCAGGGTCGCGGCAAATTTGAAGGGCGAGCGGAGCAAAACATGTCTGTGGTGGGCCCCCATTGAGATCCCATACATATCCTACGCCCAACCATTGCAATTGATAACTGATCATGAGGATCTAGTACGTAGACTTCCCCACAGCAGCCGCACCAAACCGTACGACTGCCACAGGGCGTGCCGCCGCAAGCGACCTCTGCCCGTCGTCGCCGGTGAGCCGATTGCAAAACGGCAGGACAGCACTTTTTGTGGCCGCCTGAAAGTGTCGTAAACGGGCAATATTGCTCACGTGCTCTCTCGCCAAGTGGTTGGGGGCCACCAACCACCGGAGCCTGTGCTTAACACGCGTCTCTCTCTCTCAAATAAAAGCAGCGGCCGGCCACCTTGGTTTGCAGGGATGTCAGGAAAAGGGCCGGGGCTGGCCTGGCAGCGCGGATGCGACGCAGAGGTGCGCCGAGGCGCTGCCCGCCGGCCGCTGCCAGCGAGACGCGCGAGTGAGAAAGTGTGTCACGCCTGCTGTCTGTGCGTGGGCCAACCCCGCAGCGCAGGCGCTTCCGGCCCAGGGAGGCAGCCACAAGCGTGGGCGTCGGCCTGAGGCGCGGGGGCGCTGTGCGCCACGAGGAAGCTTTATGTTCATCGGCGGGAAGGGCAGCCGAGGGCTGCTTAGGCCGGGTATGGGGACAGGTGTGGCGTTGCAGTGCGCGGGCGGGCAAGCAGTGGGTGGGGGGGCCCCATCGCCAAGCGTGGCCGCGGCCTAGTCGTCTCTCTCTGCCGGGCCGAGGGTCAAGGGACTCAGCCGGGCGAAACAGGAAAGCTCGGGGAACGAGAAAGTCTGCACGCACGTGCGCGAGGTGGGGCCATTTGTGCTGGGACAGGTGCGCACGCGTGGTGTGCCACCTGAACCCAAGCCATGGCGATTTGGAAGTGCAGAGGGCACAATCACTGATTGTGCCTTGAGGCAGGTCAGAGCGCGGGTGCAGCGCTTGCATTGGCTCCGTCCAATGGATCAACACCAACTTCAAACCTCCAGCAGCAGCTGCAGCGGCAGTAGCAGCAGCCGCATCAGCCGCATCAGCCGCAGTAGGCGAAGCAGCAGCAGCCGTTCAGCCTGCACTCTATGAAGTGGCAGTGGAGCCGTCAGGGCTGGCATCACGCAGCGCCCTCAGGCGCCGCACGACCTCCGCCAGCGAGGGCCTCTCCGCCGCATCCTGAAATGGCAGGGTTTGGCGGGATCCAGGGTCAGGGACAGGTAGAACGCGCACGCCAGTGACCAGGGTTGGGATGCGATGAGGGTCACGCTGTGTGCTTGAGGACAGTAGTGCAGCTCACTGGCAATGCGTGTGAGATACCTGCAACAATGAGCATCAAGTGCACGTTTATGCAAGGTTAAGCACACATGCCCAAAAACAAGCACAGCTACCCACCCACTCGTGTGCGCGCGTGTGTGTGCACGCACACACACACACACACACACACACACACACATACAAAAACCACCCACCTGGGCCCAGCAGCAGTCGATCAGGTCCCTCAGCCCCTCAGGCCACCCCGCAGGCAGCACGGGCCTGTGCCCGTGCGCCACGCGCACCGCCCAGTCGCGCGCGATCGCACGCGGGTCTGCAGCGCCGATGCCGCCGGCGCCGCCGGGCGACGCGTGGGCGGCGTGCTCTGAGAGCAGCATGTGGCGGCTGAATACCTCGTACATGACGACGCCAAAGGAGAAGGTGTCTGGGGGGCGATTTGAGCAGGCGACATTGGGTGGCAATTAGCAGCGCGCAGCGCCTGCAGCGTTGCTTCACAATGCGGAGGGGAGGTCGGGATTGGGAGATCAATCGGGCAGGCCGGGCCCCAGGTGGGGCAGGGCGGATGGCGACAATGAGGCCCGCCTCGTGGCCGGCGGCCCGTGCGTCGCGGCATGGCGATCTGCGGCAAGGGCGCACCGACCGCGCGCTCGCCACAAACATGTCAGGTCGGTCTGGCACCCACCGGCGCGCTCGTTGTATGCGCGGCCCAGCAGGACTTCTGGCGCCATGTAGCACCAGGAGCCTACGCCCTCAGTCAGGTGGTATCTTGTGGGAGGGGACCGAAATACAGGGTGTAAGTGGTTGTGATTGCATGTTTGATCATGTGCAAAAGAATGCACATGGACTCTTGCGCACCTCGAGCACGGGTTTGTGCTAGAGTGCGGCCAGCGGTTGGTCTGGGGTGAAGTGCAGTGCAACGCGGTTGTCGGCCGAAGCGGCAGCATCGCCCTGGGCGCAGCCCCACCTGACGTCTGACGCCTGGCACGAGTTGCAGCGCCTCAGCAGACCGTACCGCCTGGCTGCGCCCGCCGGCTGCAGCTGCGGCGCCCAGCCGCCGCCGTCCGAGCCCGCCGCCGCCGCACCTGCCAGGTCGCCGCAGGTGCAGGCTGCCGGCGCCGTGAAAGCTGGCGGCTTCGCGGCGGCGGCCGCGCCGCCTGCGGGCGCAGTCAGGACGGACCCGAGCACACCGCCATACTGCGGGCTCCAGGGCGACGCGCCCCCACGCACCCCGGCGCGCGGCCGCTGCAGCGGACTGCCCGCGGACTGCTGCTGCAGCAGCATCTGCTGGACTGCGGCGCGCTGCACCCTATGCAGGGTGAAGGGCGACGCCGGCGCAGACGCGAGCGGCGGCGTCGTGCCGAGCGGGGCACTGCTGGGCGTGATCAGGTTACTCGGCGCGGTCCACCCTACTGGTCGGGGGCCGGCGGGCAGCTGGCAAGAGGGGCGGGGCGCAGAGCTACTAAGGTGCGGCGCGGACGACGCGCCGAGCGCTGTACAGGCGTCGGGGCCAGCGAGCTCGAGGCCGCCGCGCGGCGCGTGCGGCGTGTAGGTCAGCGGGATGGCGCCTACGAGCGGCGAGACGACCACCGAGCGGCGCTGCGCGAGCGGCACTGGTGTCGGCCCCGACGGTGGCGCGGTGGTGGTGGCGGCGACGGCGGCGGTGCGGGTCTTGTCAGGGGCCTCCTGTCCAGGGACGCCGGGCTCGTGCTGCTGCTGCTGCTGCTGCTGCTGCTGCAGCTGCAGCAGCTGCTGCTGCAGCTGGGGCGTCTCCCGCTGGTCGCTGGCAGGCACGTTGTCGTGCGGCTGCGACTGCGCCGCGGCCGCCAGCTCTGGCCCCGTTGTTGCACCGCCGTCCGACCTCCCGGCAAGCACGCTCGCGGCGCCCTTGCCGGCGAGTTTCGCGGCCGCCGGCGTGCGGCCCTTGCCGCCGCCCATCCCAGCCGCCACCCGCGCGCCAAAGC